GCATCGTCGTCTTCATCATAAGCGTCAGCAGCATCATCAAAACTTAATCCAGCTGTACCATAATCATCAGCATGATCATCAGCATCAGCATCATCAACAGCATCGTCGTCGGCGTCGGCGACATCGACAGCATCATCATCACCATCAGCATCATCACCAGCATCAGCATCATCATCATCATCATCATCATCAGCAGCATCACCATCATCAGCATCATCAACATCAGCATCTGCATCGTCATCATCATCATCATTATCAGCAGCAGCATCAGCATCATCAGCATCCTCGTCATCATCAGCAGCAGCATCATCATCAGCACCATCATCAGCATCATCATATCGTCATGATGCTCACCACCATCCTCACGACCATCATCTTCACCACCACCATCATCATCAGCAGCAGCATCAGCATCATCATCATTATTACCACCAACAACAACAGCAGCAGCACCACCACCACCACCATCATACAGCAGCATCATCATCGTCCCTCTCCTTCAGATTCCCCCTTCCTCCCTCCCCTTCCTTCTTCCCCCTCCTCCTCCTCCTTCTCCTCCTCATCCTTCTCCTCCTCTTCCGCCTCCTCCTCCTCCTTTTCCGCCTCCTCCTCCTTCTCCTCCTCCTTATCCTTCCCGCCGTCCTCCTCCCCCCCCTCAGGCTGCAGTACCACTTCGGATCAAGTCCCCGTGGCTGCATCCCTCCCCCGTGCACATGCGAGGCAACTTTGGTCCAAGTCTCTTGGGCTGGGAACCTCGCCGCCGCAAGCGGTCCTCCCTTCACCCAGGGTGGCCCACGAACTGCGAGCATTCCGCATCCGCGCCCTCGCGGTCTGGGCTCTGGTGCGCGGTCTCGCGGGGCAGTCCGCGGGGTCGCGGCCCTGGGGCCCAGCGCGCGAGGCCGCAGATATGGAAATGTTCTTCGCCCGCGAATTGCGTCCCCCCTCCCGAGCCTACCCCTTGAGGCGTGAGACTGCCATGCCGACCCAGACGTCCACCCGCAGATCAGTCGGCCGGCAGCCGCGGCGGCGGCCGACTGATCTCTGCGCAGCGGGCCGGAGGAGGCCTCGGCGGCAGCGGCGTGGGCCGCGCGCTCGCCGCAGAGCGCGGTGCGGAGCTCCGACGACTCGCCCCTGGCCCGCTCGAGGGACTCCTCGAGAGCAGGGGGAAGCGTCGTCTGGCTCTGCCTCCTGGGATCCTCCTCCTCCTCCTCCTCCTCCTCCTCCTCCTCCTGCTGCCCTTCCTCCTCCTGCACTTCCTCCTCCTGCCCGTCCTCCTCCTCCTCCTTCTCCTCCTGCTCCTGCTCTTCCTCCTCTTTCTCCCCCTGCTCCTGCTCTTCCTCCTCATCCTCCTCCTCATACTCTTCCTCCTCCAACTCCTCCTCCTCGTTCTCCTCGATTCCATTTCCTGATAAATACCTTCTCCCTGTCCCACCCCGAGGCCACTTGTTAGGGCGGGCCAGGAGTTTCGCCTGAGACTTCCTCACAACGTATGCTCCTCAAGCTTTGAAAATGGCAACAGCTTCACAGATGGAGGGCGGGTCGTTTTCAAAATGTGGCTCTCGCCTTAGCGCCGCGCGAATTCGTTTTAAAATATTGCAAGAAACTGACGGATTGAAGGCGACTGGTTTTCAAAATCTGGCTCTCGCCTTAGCGCCGAGCACATTCGTTAAAAATGCCAGATTTGCACGAATTAAAAACAATTGTTTTTCAAAATGGTACTCTCGCCTTGGCGCCGCGCACATTCGTTCTTTAATGTGCAAGAGTTTCACGGATACCCATGATCAGCGTATCAGAAACGGGGCTTTGAAAGTAAGTAAGATTGTGAGGGTGCAACAGTTACATTGACTCGCGATCTTGAAGTCCCAGGAGTGGCGTTCTGGCCCGATTCATGATCACGCAACACTCAAGTTGATCCGTGGCGTTGGAATCCCGAGAACTATTTTTTGGCATGCTTCAGGGTCTTCAAACGGTTGTGTTCCAACGAGGCAGTTCCCTCAGTGTATCAGTGGAAGTGGCCCGTTGTAGGGGCCTATGAACAGAGAGCTTGGAGGGAGCGCTTATTCCAACATCGTTGATGACTCTTGGGTTTACACTGCTCCTCCTCCTCCTCCTCCTCCTCCTCCTCCTCCTCCTCGTCCTCGTCGTCGTCGTCGTCTTCAGGGTCGGCGGCACCAGCCGTAAGGCCTTCTCAATCTCTGAGGTGCGGCGGCTCGGCAGGATGTCTCGGGCGCCGCGGCCTTTTGAGAGCGTCCCGGCATGCTCTGAGAGCGTTCCAGAACGCTCTGGAACGGATTTATCCTCGTCCTGGCCCCGTCCGAATACAGCCGAAGAGATGATCCAGAAAAACATGTTTTCAGAACCTTGTGCCAGCTTCCCGGAACTTAGCCGCCCCGATACGCCACACGCAACACGCAGCGTGGTGGCACGGAGCTCAACACGTGTACTGAAACTGTACGTTTGGCGCGACCTGTTCGCCAGAACGTGGGCCAATACGCTGAGCCAACGCGCAGCGTGTTAACACGGACGTTTTGAACACGGCACGTGATGTGTTTCAAAACAGGCGTATTAGGGAAGCTAGGTCCCTGAAGTTTCTGAAAATAACCCTGGGCCAACGTCTGGTTTTAACGCTGACGTGGGCGAACGTGCCCACGAAACTGGGCCAGCTTTCCGGCGAGATGGTCAAGGAACGCTGGCCCTGATCTTCGGGATGAGGTTTCTTAATCAGATGCTCGGCGATAGGTGGTGAAATCCGAACCTTGCCCCCACCAACCACCGATTCTCCCGAGTCGATTGCAGGCGGAGGTGAGGTTCGGATTTCGCAACGTGCCCGACGAATGCCGAGCCCTGCCACCGCCGCCCATCGAGTTGCCTGAATCGTTGATCGGCGAGGGCAGGGTTCGGATCTCGCCGCCGAAGGGGGGGCAGGGCTGGCCCTTCTCAGAGAGCAGCGGGGATCCGCAGAGGTCCCCGCGCCTCCTGAGAGGCCCCCCGTGGAGACCTCGGAGAAGGTTCAGAAGGCTCCTCGGAGGGCCGAAGGGCCCTCTGGGAGGGCCCCCCTCTCTGCCTCTCCCCCCCTGGGCGCGACGCCGAACGTCGGCGGCGGCGGCGACGACCTCGTTTCGGGATGCGCTCTGACCAGAATTTCGAAGCGAATCCAGACGTGGAGACGAGGCCCTCCTAAAGACCTGGACCCCTTCCCCAGGACCAGTTCTTCATCCGGAGGTCGTTGATTCACTGTCCTGGGACCTGGCGGGGGCCCCCAGACGCCGAAGACAAGGACACATTTGCGTTGCTGCTTCCAACACGTTGGAGGTCTGGGGAGGCTTTCAGGCCATAGCTCGGCTCCACAGCGGCCGGGCGATCCGGGCAACGCCGGAGCGCCCTCGGCGTGGCGCAGCGGCCGGAAGGCATCCCGAGGCCGACAAGGAGGGAGGAGGGAGGAGGAGGAGGAGGAGGAGGAGGCGGAGGAGGAGGAGTAGGAGTAGGAGTAGGAGTAGGAGTAGGAGTAGGAGTAGGAGTAGGAGTAGGAGTAGGAGTAGGAGTAGGAGTAGGAGTAGGAGTAGGAGTAGGAGTATGCCGAGACCCGACGAGAAGGTCCGAAAACCACGGGCCTCGAACCTCGACCGTTCCCCCCTGAGCTTATCCCCCCCTGACGTTGCCCCGGGCGCAGGGCGATTGGCGAAGAGGCGCCAAGCCATTGCCGACGAGGGCTCAACAACGTCTTCTGCGGTCCCTCGGCTCGCCCTGGAGCTTCCACGATTTGCTCACGATTTCCTTTCTGGATTATCCACGACCTTTCTGGATCGACCTCGACTTATCTGGAGTTACCTGGACTAGAGGCCTCCTAGATGGGGTCGGAGTAGATAGGGTCGGAGGATCGCGCTGCATCGGCGATACATCGGCGATGCATCGGCGATGCATCGGCGATGCACCGACGATGCACCGACGATGCATCACCGACGTCGGCGACGCATCGGCGACGTCGGCGTGGAGAAAATCAGGCTCCGCATCGAGCCGCATCGGCGATGTATCGCCAATGCGGCGCGATCCTCCGACCCCATCTACTTCGACCCCGACCCCATCTAGGAGTTACCTAGATGGATGTACCTCGACGTGCGTTGATTTATCTGGCCCGATCCCCTCGAGCCTCGAACTCGACGCGGTCCTCCTGACCCCCTGCCCTCGAACCTCGAACCCTCCCCTCGACCTCTGGCCCCCTCCCCTCGAGCCTCGAGCCCTGAGAGCCCGGTCCTCGGCGCTGCCGCGGCCCCCGCGCGCCTCCGCCAGCTCCTCGCGGAGCCGGCACGCCGCGGCCTCGCGGGCCGCAGCCTCGCGCTCGAGCGCGGCGACCCTGTCGCGCAGGGAGCGCTCGGTCTCCTGCAGACGGCCGGGCGGCGCCGTGCCGTGCCGTGCCTGCGCCGTCGCCGTCGTCGCCGTCGTCGTCGCCGTCGTCGCCGCCGTCGTCGTCGTCGTCGTCGTCGTCGTCGTCGTCGTCGCCGCCGCCGCCGCCGCCGCCGCCGCGGCCGCCGTCGTCGTCGTCGTCGTCGTCGTCGTCGTCGTCGTCGTCGTCGTCGTCGTCGCCGTCGCCGCCGTCGTCGTCGTCGTCGTCGTCGTCGTCGCGGAAAAACCACGACGGACGCTTTTGGTGTCGTGTTCTGCATCTGGGGGCCATCGCCGGGCACTGGGACCGTCAAAAAACTACTCGGGACGAAAAGCACATCTCGGGAATTGGGTCGAGAACACAAAGGGTCGACGTCGCAAGAAAAATCGCGTCGGGGGACCAGGTCCTTCGAGGAGCGCGGCGTGTTCACATGTTTCTTTTTACTACTATTACTATTACTATTAATATTCGCATGTCTCTTTTTACTACTATTCTTAGTAACAGCAGTGTTCCTCTTAGTGTTGTTCTGTTTCCTCTCATTTCTCCTACTCCTCCTCATCATCATCCTCCTCCCCGTGTCATCTTCCTCTTCCGACTTCCTCCCTTCCTTCCCCGTGTCCTCCAAAGGAGGGGCGATCACCTCTCCACATCCTCCATGGGGCGACCACCTCCTCGCCTCCCGCCGCCCTGGGGACGCCGCCGCGCAGGCCCGCGGGGGGCCCACGGTGCCAGGAGGGAGCGGACCTCGGCCTGCGGGCCGCCGACCCGGCGGCACGGCGGACCACGCCGAGGGCCCAGGCGCGCCTGCGGTCCCCCTCGGGCCCGCGCTGCTTCGGTGCGGCGCCTGCGCACACTCGCGCCGAGCATCTTCGCCCGGCGGATCCTCGATCGGCTGCACGCAGGGAGTGACCCCCAGAGGCCCTGGGCAAGAGTTTAACCCGTGGTGCGCGGCTGCATCGGGGACGCGCGGTGGCCGAACCAAGGCGCGCGCAAGCCAAGGGTGCCGCTTCGCGCCCGGCGGTCGGGGGGTCCCGTTGGGTCCGCACCAGAGGCCACTCCGGCGTACAGTTGGGGCGCTGACCTAAGGAACCCTAAATAAGGAACGAGGCCCCTTTATTCCATAAGTTAGCTTCGACTTCCCATCGAAAGTCTGAGGAATACCTGAGGCCAGCTGCAAAACAACTAAGGAACACTGAACCCCTCCCCAACAGAAAGTGTTCCTTCTTCAGCGCCCCGCTTATAAGGTCACTCCTGCGTCCAGTCGAGTGTCTCGGTTCCCCTGCGCCGGGCCCGAGGGTTCGCTCGCTCTGCCCGTGCCGGCCCGAACGCCGCGCAAGCGATGCGCAGGGAGCTCCCCCGTGCACGAGCAGGATCCGCAGGGGGAGGAGGAGCGGATAGGCAGGCGGCCTGCCTCTGGCGGAGGGCCCAGGCCGTGGCCGATCGCGGTGCCTCCGCGGGAGAGCTCGGGCCTCGGGAAGCGCCACCAGCCGCATCGCAGCGCCAGGCCGTGGCCGTGCCCGATCTCGGTGCCCGGTGCCCGGCGTGGTCGAGGTGGTGGTCAGGGAGCTCAAAAGTGTTTGCCCAGCGGTGGCACCAGCTGTGTGGTGAAATGCTGACGGTCTCTGCTGCGCCCGTGCCGCCCATGATCAAGAGGCTCCAAGCTCCGCGCGACCGCTGCTACACCCGTGTGCTTGGCGCCGTGGCCCTTGAAGCCGTGCTAATCCAGCGCGGGCGCACGCCGGCCAGCCAGCCATGGCCAACCCTGTCAGTCACTGACTGCCGCGGTCACCCCTTGAGACCCCGACGCGCTAAGGTCGCCCTCATCCGCCGAAGAAGTCTCAAAACCACCCTGGATGGCCTCAAGGCTACCGAAAAAAACCTCCAAGAGGCCAAATTCATCCGAATCCCTTGGGAAACCGTGCATGCCTCAGCATATTCGCATTTTTGTTTTTCACGACGTCCAAGACGGCCCAAGAGGACCGCAATATCGCCCCAAAGGGGCCCAAAAAGCGTCGAAATCGGCCACAAGACGGCCCAAGGCCAAAGAGGCGCCCAAGACGTCTGAAGAGGACCCCAACCCGAGCCCCAAGAGGGGCCCAAGAGAGGTACGTTGAATTGACCTCTCGTACCCTCCGCCAGCAAGCGCCCAAGAACCCCCCAGGAGTCTCCAAGAAGCCCCACAAAAGAAGCCTTCAGACGCCCCCACAAGGTCAACAAGAGGCCATATCCCAATGATACCCCGCCCAGCTCCGACGGTCCTAAGAAACACCCGCCAGCCCCAAGAGGGCCGCATTATGGATCCGTGTATTCGGGCCCGAGAGATCAGGAGTGGTTTTGCGATCGTCGCGAGCTCTCTCTTCTGAGGGTCGGCGGAACGGCGTAAGCCTCTTGAATAATTAACCAACGTCGGGCTCCGATTTCGCCTCCCACATCCCAATGAACAGCGCCACAACCCGCTGCCACTGCTCGCCTTGTTCTGGCGCGCTCATCCCTGCGATACGCGTGACAAGAACAGACGCATGGAACGGTATCCCAGACTGCTTCCTGTGCGATGAATTGGCCACTGACAAGTTCTAGAGAAGATGATGTCCGTTCAAGCTATCATGGTGGTTGCCTGGCATGATCGCACACGCATCTTGCATCGTGAGATGCTCGAAAGCGCAAAAGACCGATCTGAAGGGAGCCCGGAAATCCTGCCAAATCGCCAGAAGACCTTTCACACGATGTGATTACCAAATTGTTAACGACTAGATCAAGCTCCAAACTGCTCTCCCACATCTCGCCGAGCAGTGACAATGCCTGCCGCCACTGGCCACATCTCTCACACGCGCAGATCCCAGCGCAGTAGCTGATGGCGCGAGCCTCCAGCTTTGCCGCCCGCATCTCGCCCAGAAGCGCCAAAGCCCGTTGCCACTGATTTCCCTTCTCGCACGCGCTGATCCCAGCGTTGAAGCTGACAACATGGCGTTCCAGCTTGGTCTTCCGCATCTCGCGCAGCAGCGACAAAGCCTGTTGCCACTGCTTGCTCTTCCCGCACGCGCTAATCCCAGCGCTGTAGCTGACTAGTGCTGACCCATGGACTGACATCCACGAACACATACGCATTCACATGCAAGGGTGACGATCGCTTGCTTCTTTGCGTGCTGTCCTGCTTAAGAAGCTGCTAACCTGCTGATCTGAAAGGTCCATCCCTGCTTGCCAGCTTGCCAGCTGGCCTGACTTCTTGTTATCTTGTGTGCTTTGATGCTTGCTCGTCCGCTCTCTACTGCTTGATTAAAGGACTCGCCTGTGTTTGGTGCTGCTTTCTGTTGCTTGCTACCTCTCGCTGCTACGGACTGGAGTTTGCTGGTCGCTGCTGCTTGCTGCGGGTTGGTGCTGCTGCTTACAATTTTGCTTGCTGCTGCAGGCTGCTGCAGGCTGTTGCGACGTACTGCTGCAGGTAGCTGCTCATTGATGTTGCTCGCGTTGATGATGCTGGACACGGAGGGCGTACTGGGACTCGCTTGGACCATGTTGAGGCCGTCCTAGACCGCATCTGGGCTCTCCAGGGCCTTCTGGGCCGTCCTGACGCCCTCTGGGGGGTGGCCCTCTCGGGCAGTCTTGGGGCTCTCCTGCAACGCCTTGGGATCCTCACGAGAAGCTCGCAGGCCGGTTGAAGACCTCTTCGAGCTATCTTGGGCCGTCTTTGAAGATTCTCGGGGCATCCTAAAGCCCTCTTGGGGTCGCCTGTGAGCCGCACTGGAGGCTTGTCAGGGCATTCCGAGGCGGTGTGGAGCCGTCCTGAAGCAATCCTCGGGCGAGAAGCCCAAAAAGGGGAGGAACAAACAAAAAACTGAAACTGTCTGCTATTTTGCGCGTCTGGGGCCTCTCGTGGAGCCTCTGTGGCACATCTTGAAGCTCCCCGGGCGCTCGTGGCGCCTCCTGGGGCCGAACCGAAGCGGTCCCGCCCGCATCAGCAGCGCGGACCGCGCGTAGCCGCCCAGGCAGCGACGCCCTGTGGGTATCACATGTGCTCCTCGCACGCGCTGACCATGGCATTGTGGTTTGAAGGCGTCGGGCTTCAATTTCGCCTCCCCCATGTCACTAAGCAGCACTAGAGCCCGCTGCCACTGCTCACCCTTCTCGCACGCGCTGATCGCAGCGTTGTAGCTGACTAGTGTATACCTGTGGTGTGATCAGCGCTATCGACGTTGCGGGGGGCAGTGCTTGTGGGGCGTGCCTCCACCAGCAAGTGGCGTCACTCCACTTGCTTTCGGCCTCTCTTGGAATCCACTTGGAGCCGCTCTGAAAGCCCTTCTGGGGCCTCCTCGAGCCTGCTTGGGCCTATTCTGGGGCTTCAGGCGGGTCTTAGGCGGCGCCTGGGAGCGCTCCGAGAGGGCCCCAAGTGGACCCGGAGAGAATCCAAAAGCAAGTGGAGTGACGCCACTTGCTTCTGGGCCATCTTGGAGGGCTTCTGGAGCTCTCTAAGCCTCTCGGGACCCTCTCGCTCCCCTGGAGCTCCAGGGAGAAGTCAGGCGGGCTCCTGAGAGGCTCCAACAGGGCCCCAAGTGCACCCCAAGAGGGCCCAAAAAGGAAGTAGCGTCACTCCACTTACTTTGGGGCTCTCTCGGAATGCACTTCAAGCCGTCTTCGAAGCCTCCTTCTGGTCTCGTGGGGCCCGCTCCTGCCTACCCTGCGACTTCAGGCGGGACTAATGCTGCCTCCAGGAGCGCTCGGAGAGCGCCCCCAGTGGCCCAAGTGGGCCCAAATAGAATCCACAAGCAAGTGGTGTCACTCCACTTGCTTTGGGGCTCTCTTGGAATCCACTTGAAGCCGCTCTGAAAGCGCTTCTGGGGCCTCTTCGGACCTGCTTGGGCCTCTCTTGGGCCGCGTTGGGGCCCTCTGGGGCCGTCTAGGGGCCCCTTGGGGCCCTGCGAGGCCGGCTCGGAACCTCCTGGGGCCGGCTTGGGCCGACTTGGGGGCCTCTGGGACCCTTTGGGCTTCTCTGGGACTTCTCTTGGGGCACTCCGGGACCGTCTTGGGGCCATCTGGGGAACCGTCTTGGGGCTTTCTTGGGCCGTGTTGGAGCGCTCTTCTTGGGAGCCTCCGGGGCCGCCATGGCACGACCCGGGAGGCCTTTGAGGCCGTCTTGGGCGGCTATAAAGGGCGGAAGAGGTAGAAGGCAATGGTTTCGGCCTCGGGCAGCGCTCCCTGGGAGTCTCTTGGGGCGGTCCTGGGGCGTCATGGGTGCCTCTTGGGTTGTCTGGGGGCCATGTTCGGCAGTCTTGCGTTAAGTCGGGCCTGTCCCTCTACAGGAAGGGTACTCAAAAACAGTCGAAAAATCGACTGGGGACGATTCTCTTTGTATTTTTAGCCATTTTGGGGTATTGTTTGACTAGTTTCATTTTTCGTCCAAAATCTCCCTGTAGGGAGACAGGCCCGACCTAGATCTTGCGCCGTCTCCTGCGCCATCGGGGCCTCTCCGAAGGCCACCGAGGCGGCTCCGAGGGCCGCCCAGAGAGGCCCAGGCCCCGGGGCCCTGGGGGGCCTCCGGGGTTCCGCGGAGGGGACCAGTTCAATGCCACCGCTCGCTCTTTTCGCGCGCGCGCTGTCCGCGGTATTGTAGGATAGACTACAGTAACAAAAAAAGAAACGATTCAGAAAATTATCGATTCAGAAAGCTGGGCCAGCTTTTCAGAAGTTCCTCAAGAAAACGCTGGGCCAGCTTTTGGAGCCAGGAGCGTACATTATTCATGTCTAGTTCCGCCCGAGCTGGAATCGTTTTTTCGCTCGTGCGATGGAAAAACTAGTCATTTCGTAGTGTTAGAAATTACATAACAGTCGGTCCCAGTTCGGTCCCGTACATTATTCATTTCGTAGTGTGACGCGTGGAATCCACGGCGTGCTGAACCTGGGACTCGCACACCGTGGGTGAGCAGCTCGTCGACGTTGAACAGCTCGGGCGTCCCTGGGGCCGCGTCGAGGGCTGGGCCCTCGTGCGAGCCTGTCCAGGGCGTCTTGAAGGCCTCTTGAGGTTTTTGGGCGCCTCTGGGGCCGTTCCGGTGCTGTCCCCCAGAGCCTCTTGTGGTGGACAGCCTGGGAGACTTCTTGTGCGTGCGTACTGTGGGGGTGCTGCCAGAAGATCCCCCCTGTCACCCCTGAGGTTAGCTGCAGGGTCTGCTGGAGACTCCGGGAGCCAGGGCTGGAGGTTGTCTTCGAATATCCTGGGAGGGTCTGCGCCATCTCGGAGTGGTCCAGGGAGGGATCTCGTGAGGCTGTCTTGGGGCCACCGAGGGCTCTACTCGGCCGTAGGGGGGAGCGAGATGCTGGTCCCCGCAGTGTCTGCAGGTCACCACCCTGTCACCCCTACTCGGCCTAGAGGGGGAGCGACCGAAGTGGCTGCAGGTGCCCCCTGTCACCCCGAACACGCGGATTGGAGGCCCTAGAGCGGCCGGAGCCTCAATGAGGGAAGGAGGAAGCGATCAGAGGAGAAGGTCCCCCCTGTCACCCCTACTCGGCCGAATGGGGGGAAGTCTCGAGGGCGACTCTGGGACATCTTGAAGTGGTGCTAGGATCGCTCTTGGGAGCTCCATGGGAACTGTAGGAGTCTCTTCCTGGGACTGTGCTTGGGAGCTCAGTGGGAACTGTCGGAGTCTGTTGGCAAGCGTCGGAGTCTTATAGGCGACTCTGGGGCATGTCGAAGTGGCCTGGGGACCGCTCTTGGGAGCTCTGTGGGGACTATCCGAGTCTCTTTGGAGGCTCTGTGGCATCTCGGAGTGGTCTGGGGCCTGCCTTGGGGGTCTGGGGATTTCTTGGAGGCGTTTGGGGTTCGAGACACGGCGAAAGGGCGCCGTGGCTCAAGGCACTCTCCTTGGGAGCCCCTTGGGAACCACTGGAGTCTCTTGGGAGACTCTGCAGCATGTGGGAGTGGTCCTTGGGAGGGTTCTTGGCCCACTGGGGGCTGGGGGAAAGGCGTCGTCTGGATACGCTTCGGCCCCTCTTCGAGCCCTCGTGGGGGTCTCTCTGGAGCCTCTAAGGGCCCTCTTGGCCCGTTTCGGGGCTTTCTTGGGCCGTCTCGCGGGCCTCTTGGGCCGTCCTGGGGCCATGTAGGGGGTCTCGAGCCGTCTTGGAGATCGCTTTGGTGCCCGCCGGGCAGCTCCTAGGGCCCTCTGGGCCCTCTATGAGGCTATCTTGGGCTTCTCCTGGGCAGCCTTCGGGCCCTCTGGGGCCGTCTTGGGGCACTTGGCGGAACCTCCTGGACCATCTTGGGCAGATTTGGCATGGCCATGGAGCCGTCTGGAGCCGTCTTGGACTCGAAATGGTGAGAACAGGGAACACCTTCACAAGCTCAATGGAAACCGTTCTCTGGCGCACCGGGCCCGTCGTCGGGCCGTCTTGGGCTGTCATGGGACTCCGTTCGGGTCCTCTTGGGCCGCCCTCGCGCGCTCTGGAGCGTCTGAGAGCTGTCTTGGGGCTATCAGAGGCCGTCTTGGGGCCACCGAGGGGCTCTCTGGAGCCGTCGGAGAGCGCAGGTGCGCTTCGGGCGTCGGGGGCAGCTCACTGCAGCCCCTCTTCGCACGCGCAGCCAGCGCCCAGTATTGTAGTACAGACTACTGTTTACCCGTGGCGCAAATCCGCAGGTGCCCTGGCAGGGGAGCGCGACGACCCATCTCTGGGCCATCTTGGGTCGTCTTGGGCGCCTCGTGGGCTGGAGGCCGGCTCGGGAGGACTCGGCTCCGCCCCCAGATGGCACCTGGGAGGCCTGCAGGGGCAGCCCCAGGGCGCCAGAACCATGGGAGGAAACAGGGCCGCATTTCCTCACATGGTTCTGGCTTCCAGGCGCAGGGCGGGGAGGGCCATGGGCCGCCCCGGGGGGACGCGGAACCGCCTCCAGATGGCACTCGGGAGGCATCCCAGCCCGGCCTGGGGCCGTCTTGGGGTTC